ATAAATCTGTTCGACGCGACACGAGATTATCATATCAATACTGATCGGCTATCTATTGAAGGCCATTATGGCTCCTAAAGATATTAAGCTCTTGACCTTTTTTGTTACTTTCATCTAAATACGTGCAGGTCTCGATGCCGATTGAGCTGTAGGTTTGATTCCTGACTTGGGCTCAGAAATATTCTGACTAATTAATAGCTCGGAGGATACCTCCAAATTTCCATCAGTTAGTCCAGTCTACGCAATATTGTCGTGTTGTTTTAACTGTTGGGTTTGCAGAAACAAAAAGGCTTTGATATACTAATGTCTAAACTGACATTGCTTGACGATGATTGGACTGAAGATAATCTTATCAGGTGCGCTAAGAACTAAGCTTTTTCTTCTTGTGAAGGCGTTGTTTGGAATGTGATGTTGTTGGAAGGAACGTTTGCAAAGGATATCTCGATTTTTCACCGCTTTGATTCTCCATCAACCCTAATGTGGTAAAGCAAGAGTTAAACAAGCGTCAAAAACGTTACAATTTCAAGAATTGGAATAAGTCTACTCATTCTAATATTTGATAGAACTCTCATTTACATTGCATTTGGATAGGAATTAATCGTATCTTATCGTCTCAATACATTTTGAATGTGATCTTTAAATCAGGTTGACATTTATGTTATGGTCCATGGACTACCGAGGAATATTGAAAGCCAAATGTTCTTCCTCAGGATAATTTGTCTTAGGCCAAATCCCACAATGATCCAAACAAAGACACACATCTCTGATATTCAAACAGACAACAAAGACCGTCCATTTCGGTGAATCACTTCAACCCATTGTAATCAAAAGTCACGAAAAAATAACCCTCAGAAAGTAAGCGTAACGCGGTAATTTCCTTATTCCTGTATACTCCGATAAGATAATCTGCACGTAGACGTCTCCAAAATGTTTTCCTTTGTTTAGTTCACGCAGAACCTAGGATGAGGCTTTCACACTGGGATATTGCCAACAGAGGCCGACCCTCAATAACCTGTTAATCGTCACGGTATGAAAGAGGCCTGTCATCTGAACAAGGCGCTTTCATCCTTTATCAGGCGGGAAAAATTTCCAGACAAAGGCCTCTCAAGCACAGTTGCACGCACACGCATTCCAGTGTCAGTGCGCTTGCGCGATGAAATCTATATTGCAGTTAAAAGCAGACACATTCAACAGGAGTATATCATTTACGAGCAAAACGAGCCGCACACTTCGTGCAACATAATCATGAGCTCCAAACCTTACCGTATTGGTCAATGGATTCCTTCTGACCAGAAAGTTCTTGACAAATGGTTAGACAACTTGATCACAGAAGTCAAAAGTAAATCCAAAGATAGGTTAGCGTTATTGATGGCTCTTCATCCGCCGGCTGAAGATGAAGAGACGGCTAAAGGTGGAAATCAGCTAGCAGTTGCTCACGGTACAGAGGAAGATCTCAGTCTCCATCCACCGGTTCAAGAATTATTGAAAGCTATCATCTCCGACCCCGAGATAAACATGTTTTTCCATCAGATGTTCTGGCAACAGTACAAGAATCCAGATAGTTCGATAGGAACAAGGATCCCTTGCTGGCAACTGATGATTATTTTAATCGACTTCATCATGACCACAGCTCCAGTGTACAACAAAACTGGTTTGGTTGGCTTCCCCATCAACGTAATCCTAAACTGGCCGATGGCTACGACTGCTTTCCTCAACGACAAAGTCAACAGGTTGTTCAAAAGTATTCTCAACTATTGGGGAAAGTTTCTTTCCAGTTCTGCTTCTTGTTACGTGTTGACTGATGATCCTCGTCATGGTTGGTTTGGTGAAGACGCAATGCAAGCCATGCCAAACTTCGTCCAAGAGTTCAAATGCAAGCCCAACGAAAAACATTATGGTTTTACATCATGGGATGATTTCTTCACCAGAGAGTTTCGTAATGGCATTCGTCCAGTAGCATCTCCGGACGACGATTCCATTGTTGCGAATGCTT